CTTCTTACTGAGGCTATTGAAAGCCTGTGGGAGTAGGTGCTTTTTGGATGAGTTGATGTGGCAGGATTGAGCAATACTCAAACTGAAGAGAGTGTATTTGTGGAGATCCAAAAATAAAAAAAAATCCATTGTCTGTAGTACTGGGAACACAAGACACTGCCCCAGATGAGATGTACTGTTATTAAGTCACTCAGAAATGCTGCATCTGATCAAACAATTTGAGACAGCGTTAACATAAACCTTTCTGCAGGAGCACTGTTAGAAACCATGCACTCATCCTCACATAACCCCTTGTGAGTGCTAAACTAAGAATTTGCTTTCCCTGTTGAGACAGTGGGAACCAGCTTGTGTGAATGTACAAATTAAAATAAACCCCTTCTCTCTGCAGTAAGCATGCCCTGAACTGAAACACCTGGTTCTCTTGAGAAATGCCCCAGACAGCATGGATAGAGTCAAGGATAAAAACATGGGCCTTGGGATGCCACTTTGGTTTGCTTTTTCTGGAACCAGCCCAGGGTTCATGAGCAAAGGCATCCTCAAGGATTTCCTTACAAGAGGCATGAAAGGTCCTGAGGCCAATAACAGCCAAGGCCGTTTATCAGGGAGAAGCCAAACAGTGGCTTGTGATTTTTGTTTGCCTGGGGTAGCGGAGACTTCCTTTGCTGCTCCCCGCTAGTGAAACTGTTCACCACTGACCTAGCCCGCTGACCCGAGTTCACAGGATGACTCTGACCACTATGTTGACAGGGACAGCATCTTCCCCAGTCCTTCCAGCACCTACCCCTTCACCATGTTGTGCTAGTGGAAGGAGCTGAGCTGCTGCACAAAAGGAGGACAGTGTAGGCATCCCATCTCTCCCGCAGGGACCAGGGCCATAGATCTACCTATCAATAAATGCAACAGCCAGCACCACAACAGATCACTGGTGCTCTTGGCTGAGTGACCTGTACTCAGCAGTGATTTCTGCCTAGTGTCCTTGGTCAAGTGAACCCCCTCCCCAGTGCTAATTTGCAACTACTGAATAGAGCAGCTGTGGGGAGTTTAATAGGCAAAGGTTTGAAAGTTGATGAGAGTATCAGGTAAGACCAACAGCAGCTACAGCCACTTCTATGTAAGCCTGGGATGCATGTGGGGTTGGTGATAAACTGGGGGGGTTAGCTGGATACAACCAGAGCTCTCCAGATTTGCATTCAGGACATCTCCTCCCATCACAGGTTTTTATAAAGGAAGCTGAGGGTGTGCAGTTCAGTCCAGAGTCCCCTCTTACTGCGTCTTCTGCTTCTAGGATGGCCGGGGTCACTGCAGTGCTGGTGCTGGTAGCCTGTTGGGCAGGTAAATAGAACAGCATGATTGAATGGCATGTGATGTGAGAGTGCATGGCATGCATGTGTATAGACACACACACACACACAGCTTTCCAAGTTACTGTCATGAACTGTGGTTCTGTTTGGTATTCAGGTTCCACCTACCAGTTCACTTTGACTCAGCCATCCAGCGCGTCAGTAGCTCCAGGACAAACTGTCAAACTGGCATGCGTTACAAGCAGTGGAAGCAGCATCACTGATCGTGTTGTACGCTGGTACCAGCAGAAGCCAGGGGAGAAGCCAAGATATCTGCTGTATTACAGGGATGAATCTACAAACCACAAAGGCTCTGGGGTCCCCAATCGGTTTTCAGCTTCTAAAAGCACTTCTACGAACACCTGCTTCTTAACCATTGCCCAGGTCCAAGCAGAGGATGAGGCTGAGTACTACTGTGCTGACTGGGATGGTTCCTCTAAGCAGTACACAGTAGAAGAGCTGCATGAAGTAGAGGAACAAAAACTCATCCTCACCCCTGGCTGACAGTGCCTGAAGCGCCCCTGCACTGCTCCTGTCATGGGCCGTGAGCTGGTCACACTGTCATGGCTCAAACAAACCGGTCCCTTATGTAGGGTTTTCATTTAATACACACAAGTTCAGGCCCCTCTGCCCAACAAAATAAATCAAAAATAATATTGCCTCTTTGGTTTAGTCCACAAATATTATCCAGCCTCTCCCAGCAGCAACAACCTCCTTCAGCCTCCCTTTCTGTCAGCTTAGAGACCTTTCTAAAACGTCCCAGCTGAAAGCATGCCGAGGGATTGCCAAGCAAGGCTCACAGCCCCTTCTGGATCCTTAAAGGATCTCTTCCCCCTGTCACGCAGCTATCCTATAGAGCTACTAGTTTCAGGCTCAGCACAGTCTCCAGTTCCTCTCAGCTCTCACAGCCTGGCAGCTGCTGGCTTTTCTGGCTGCAGATGTCACCTGCCTTCCGACTGAAACCCAGCACCCCAGGGGACAGACCGGGGCCCCAGATGTACATGTGTCTGTACCACTAGTGACGGGGTCTCAGCTTACCGCCCCTGGAGTGCCCATGGGCCCGTTCTGCATTACAGTGTGATAGGAGATCAACAGTAGGTTGTGATTGAAGGGTGTTTGGTGCATTTAGGAGATTTCCAGCTCCAGACCATAGTTCCCCTGATTTTTGTGCAGAATGGACTTTTCTGTTCATCCTGTCTGACAGCCTGAGTAACACAAGACCTAGCGTTTCACCCAGGAATTCCTGCATGTGGCTGAACTAGGCCATTGCTTTCAGAGACCCCCAGTCCTGATTCAAACACTCCAAGTGGGGAAGGATTTATGTTGCACTTGCTAATCCCTTGCAGAGACCTCTTCTTCATGGATAATAACAGTATTTCCAGTTTGAACTTTCCCCACCTTGCCTTGCAGCCTGTGCATCTTGGTAGCCTTGGTCTGTTCAGTGAGAGAGCCCTGAGTGTCAGCTGGGATCCAGTGATCTCTTGGTCCTTGCTCTGATAAGCCAAACACATTGGGCTTCTTTTATCATTCTTGGTAAGGTATATTTGCTAGACCTGTACATGCTCAGCACTTCTCAGGATCTGGCTCACTGGGTACCCAGACTCCATGCACTCCTTATTTCAAAAGCAAACAAGTACAACCAAGGAAAAGTGTTGTAAAGCTGCTGCCCCTTGCCAAGGTCTGGGTTTTTTCCCTCTGAGCAGCTAAACTATAGCTTAAGGGAACATTGCCAAGGCTGGCAGCCCTGGCCCTTTCTTGTTTCTTTTTAAAGCTTCTTTTTACAAATCATGTAATGCTTTGTTGAGCTTCTTCTAACAGTCTTGCAATGTGCTTTGAAACCTTTCTCTTTTAAGCAGCCATCATTTCCAGACAGTCCTACAGGAGCAGTGCCCTTCAAGTGTCTGCTATGATGGTCCTACACTGCCCTTTCAGTTGCCCCTGGGGTTGTGGATTGAATGGGATGTTGGTCAGAGCACAGCGGGATGGTCACCAGTTGTGGATTTGGCCCAAAGACCCTTGTGACTCTAAGGCATGGGGCACTAACAGGAGATCACCCCAAGAGACGAAAGGCAATGCAAACCTTTGCCAGCATCCTTACAAGTATCAACAGAGCCCAGGTGAGTGCCAGGTCTCTGCTATGGCTGATGAAATAACAGTTTTAAGCAAGTGTGCTCTCAACCTGGTTGACACTGCTCAAAAGGGATGTTCAGAAAAGCAAAAAGTCACTCCCTCATAGGATCCAGGATTCAGAGCTTGAATGGCAGCACCTCTTTTAGCAGGCTTCACAGAGGCTGTGTTGGGACTAGTGACAAGGGTCCCTTGTTGGAGAACGGAGATATGATGAGACCACCCCCACCTCCAGTTGGTTCATATTTGCTGGAAGTCTTCTGTTTTGTATTGTCAGCAGTTTGGGGCAGGGGCTGGGGCTGATATGGACCATGGCCTTCCGGAAGCATCAGATATAGCTTTTCCATAATGCCCCTGAATGCACCCAGGAGCACAGGAAAATGCAGTGGGCCTGAGCCTGGGAGGAATCTCAGGCACAAGGAGAGCATTCACCCCCTTGAAGGTTTTGGTTAGAGAGGTCACCAGTGCCATGGGAATCACCCTGATACTGGGCGCTCTGCGGGACTGTTGGACTAGAGAGAGCACTGGGGTGCAGCATGGCTCTCTGGTGAGACTGAACGCTGCTGTGGTAGTCTCTGCAGGAATGATTCTTCCCTGCCTGTTGTAATGCCAAGGGCAGTGTCCAGGCCATCCAAAGCCCTCTCTGCCTCAGAAAATCAATATGGACAGTACATGGGGAAGCACTACACAGAGCAGTGGGTGTTACAATTAGTATTATGAATTCAGGGAGCTGCGCAGAAAAGTTGCAGAACATCTAAATGCTTTTCAAATTGCATTCCTACAGGGAACTGAATAATGCCCCCAGTTGCAGAACCAAGGTCCTGTAATTGGCTAGAAGTGTGTGGAATACATGTGATTCCCCATTTGATATCTCCCCTTCTTCAGGCTTGCCCTGACCTTGGTGATTTTCTTTTGATTCACCCCTTCTTTTTAATTTACCTGTTCTACAACATACCTTGCATCCACTGAGAAGGAAGCAGATTTGCATGCAGGGGCCATTCTCCAGCTCCAGGCATTTAAGAGAGTCTTGGAGGGTCCCAGCCAGGCCTGTTTGCCTGAACAAGCTGATCTAGTCTGGATTCAAACCATGGCCTGGGCCCCACTTCTCCTTTCGCTGCTCATGTACTGCTCAGGTGAGTAGGGAGGGTTCATGCTGTGGCTTTCCTAGAGGAGGTTACTTCCAGGCTGGGGGAGTAAATGAATGGTTAATAACGGGCCAACATTGTAATGTTTATTTCAGGGGTCAGGTTGCAGCCTGTGATAACTCAGGAGCCATCAGTGTCGGAGGGACTGTCACTCTGTCCTGCAGCCTGAACACTGGAGCCATCACCACTGGCAATTATCCTGGTTGGTTCCAGCAAAAACCTGGCTCTCTCTCTCGGCAGCTTATATACAACACCAGCAGCAGGCCCTTTGGCATCCCCACCTGGTTCTTTGGGTCCATATCTAGTCAGAATGCCACCTTAACCATCACTGGGTTCCAAGCTGAGGCTGACTAGTACTGTATTGTATACACTGGCAGCAGTAATGCATGGTGCACAGTCATAAACCCCAGTGGGGAACTGAGACATAAAATTCCCTCTTCATTTTGCACTCATGCCTTCCTGGGAACATACTGCTAAGCCAGCAGAATTTTGCTTGTACCTGGTACAAGTCTGACTTCTGATCATATGCAATGAAAGCTTCCAGCTGTTCCCGACATAAAACAGCACTTTCACATCCTTCCCACCTTCCTCTGCAGAGGCAACGCTTTTCCAGAGGTGTGATGACATGTACTCCCCATGGGTCTGTCCATATCTGCACGTATCTTAGATTGTGTGCTCTTCAAGAGTAGGTTCAGCATTTTTGTTCTGTTTCCTTGCAGTGCTGAATACCTGGGTCCCGAGTCATGACTCGGCCTTAGTGGAACACACACGAGAGATACTAGGCATGGAGAATGCCTCTTGCTTCCTGAAGTGTTGGGGTAGCTTTTTGATAGTATCCTTGAGAGCATACCCCAGTACAGCCCTAGTGCTCTGGAGCCAAGTCTGTAAGCTCTCCTGTGAGGAGTCTCGTGCAAAGAGAAAGCATTTTCCCCTTTAACAGATCTGCATCTGGCCAGAGGTTGTGTAACAAGGGGGCCATTCCGGGGCCAGTCTAGATGTTGGCCTGTGCACTTGTCTAAGGCAGTCTGCCCACCTGCCTTGTCTGCCATGCCTTTGATATATCTTTATGTTGTTTTCAGGTGGGAAGCTTACCTTGATGCCAAGGGCGCATACACGGCTCCAAATCTTCCCTTGTACTCTGTCCCATGCCTTGCAGCTGGCATCCATGTCCACAAATTCTCCCAGACCCTTAGCGGAGCTGCACCAGCCTAAACTTACTTGGCCTCACCCAGCCTATCATATCACTCATAATAGGGCCTCAATTCACACCAACTCTGGGCTCCTCGCCCCGCACTCATTCTTGGGCTCCCTGCTCTACTTTGAACTCCCTGGGTCCCTCCATGCCCGCACAGTGGGGCCTCATCCCACCCTGCTGGAGCCTCAACACTCAGCTCCTTCTGGGGCTCTCAAACCCACCCTCCTGGAGCCTCAACACCCAGCTCCCTCATAAGCCTCGGGCCCCACTTAGTGGACTTGGCCCTGTGCTTTTCTGCCGGGGTGTGCTCCCCTAGCTTTTCCCCTCCACGGGGTCACCTGCGAGGCAGCGGGGGCTGAGGCCTTCTGGCACCCCATACTCACCCTTCACTGGGGAAGCACAGGTGTGGCATTTCCAGAAGCTGCCCTGCCACAAGCAGCCCCACCACACCATCCTCCTCAGCAGGATGTAGTTTTAGGTCATGCCCCAGGACCAGGAATCTCCACCACCCCCATAGCTCCTGCCCTTACTTCCAAGCTGTTCTGGGAGCAACAGCTGGCTGGGTGATGTTGCTCCTTCTGCCCCCTGCAGCAATTGCCCGCTCTGCTCTGGGGCCTAGCATTGTACCCAGGCTCCCAGCTTCTCCACCAATCAGGCGGCCTCCTTCCTAACATATGACCACCTGATTCGGCCTGCTCCCACCTGCAGGCTGCTTACTACCTGCTCAGACCGCTTTGAGTGACAGGCACAACCTGTGCTCTGTCACAGGAGGTCACCAGTGCCATAGCTATCACCTTGACTCTGGCTGCTCTGGGGGGATTATTCAATGCAAGAGGCGTCTTCTGACCAGAAAGAGCACTGAGGCATGTCCTGGCTCTTGGGTTTTTCTTCACATGGTCAAGCTTTTTGTAAGGATGGCTGAGAACAACCCAGGCTCCTTCCAGCTGATTGCCACAGTTTGAACAGGCCAATAGTTGGAGGGAAATGATGAGACATGGAAAACTACAGAAAGAAGGAATAAAGAGAAGGCTCATTTCCACATGGGTGCATATGTGGTGCAAGGAAGCTGGTCATGAGACACCGAGATTGTTAAGGGTCCTCTGGGTCCCCTCCTAGCTACCAATGTTCAGGGAGGTGCATCTTACACCCTGTCATTGCTTCATGTGGAGTAATCTTGTGAGAGGCTATAGTACTTTGGGTAGCCATTAGGACAAGGGCAGTGCTTCACCCCAGTCTTTTCCATGCTGTACGACTTTCTTCAACATCAATCCATGGTTCTATTGTTTTTTCCTACCAACCCAGAATGCTGAGGATGACCTGGGATGTGCCATTTCTTCTTTATGCCTAGGGCCCAGCACACAGAGTCACTTTCTTTAGGCAAACCAAACCTGCTTAACGTGCTCCACCAGGACCTGTGCGGTGGTCCGAGCAACATTCCTTCAACTTGGCACAGCCTCAATCCATTTGATGAAGTCATCCACTGCTACTAAACAATATGTG